CATTAAGATTAATGAAAGCTGTGTAAGTATTGACGTGACATGTGGCCAAGTATGGTGACCCATACTCGGAATTAGTGATCTGCACTCAAAGTGCAGAGCACCCATCCAAAGTGCACACACACACAGCAGTGAACACACACACACCGTGAACACACACCCAGAGCAGTGGGCAGCCATTTTTGCTGCAGCACCCGGGGAGCAGTTGGGGGTTCGGTGCCTTGCTCAAGGGCACCTCAGTTGTGGTATTGAAGGTGGGAGAGAGCGCTCTACATTCACTCCCCCCACCTACAATCCCTGCCGGTACGAGACTCGATCCCGCAACCTTTGGGTTACGAGTCCGACTCTCTAACCATTAGGCCACGACTTCCCTTAGTTTTAAAATTGATTAAATTGTTCGACATATTATGTATTATTAGACATATTATAAATATTATTATTATTATATTATTAGACATATTAGACATATTATAAATTGTTGATTAAATTGTATTGTTCCTTGTTAGAGTGTGTTAATTTCAACATTTACTATTACTATTATTATTATTATTTTTACTACTACTACTAGTATGGTTCAGTAGTTTTTGTTAATAAAGCACTATTTTAGTTTTTGTTCAGTATCAATTTTAAAACTATCGGTTAATTAATCGGTATCGGCCCGTGTGGTCCAACCTAGCTATCGGTATCGGCAAAATCCACTATCGGTCGACCTCTATTAGTTAGTATGGTCTCATTGGCTTGCTGTGCCTGTCACTCTGTCCCGTCACACTGCTGCAGTCAATATACTGTATTGAGTCAATACTGTAAATAATACTATAATAATTGTTTACTTGAATGTCCTGTCTCTCGAAGGTTTGTTTTCTTGAAAAATTGAATGACTGGTCCGAGATTTTGAGCAGCAGAATTTGGCAGCCTCTGCCTTGTTCAGGCTTCTGATCACATAGTCAGAAATAATGTCCTGGACTTCATTTGATGGGAGTTCTCTGCCCTCTATCTTTCTCCCTCTAATGCCCACTTCTATGACCTCTCTGATGGACCTCTTGGCCAAAGAGTCATTGATTGGCTGCTCTCCCTGGCATACTATCTGCTCTATGCTGACACTGCAAATGTTCTCTCACACATTTTTAAAATTTTTAATCATTTATTCTTTACATTTCACATATATTTTTTTTTTAATAAATGTAATTAGTTTATTTTTCTTTTTTTTTTTTTTTAACATATTTAATACTTTTATAAAGGATGCATTAAAAAAAGTTCAAATTGATCAAAATGTTATAAAATAAATTATGTCATTTTAAATTTTCTATTCACTTGAAAAAAATATTAAGCAGAACAGCAGTTTTCAACATTGATAATAATAAGAAATGTTTTTTTGTGGACCAAGTCAGCATATTAGAATGTTTTCTGAAGAATCACGGGACACTGAATACCAAAGTAATCACTGCTGAAAATTCAGCTTTGCCATCACAGGAACAAATTATATTTTAAAGCATGTTTAACTGGAAAACAGTTACACTTTCATTATATTAGTGTTTTTACTTTTTTGTTTGTTTTTTCTGTTTAGCCTCATTGAGCATAAGAGACTTGTTTTAAAAGCATCACAAATTCTTACCAACCCCAAACCTTTGAACGGTAGTGTGTGTCTGTGTGTGTGTGTATAGTGTGTGCTTTTGAAACTGAAAAGCAGATCTAACCATGTAGTCTTTTTTTTCTGTCTTCAATATGACAACAATATGGAGCCTTTTCATTTTTTTAATTGTTAACACATTCTGATGAGCGCAGATTCACAGAAGAAACAAATAATCTGATTATAACAGCATTTTAGATATGGAGGTTTGACAGCCTGTAATCTCATGCACTTACTTGTTAATTTACACTTTCACATTGTTTCCTTTTTTTCAAAGCGTGATCTTCACCAGCAATAAACGCAGAAGAAGAAGTGGCAGGGGTCTCTGGGTGTTGATATGAAGCAGATGATGTAAAAAAAGTGTATAAAGATAGACTGTGAAATAAGACAATGCCCAAGAACTAACTGGTTCTGACAGGCACCAAAAACATCTTGAGAACACTCAAAACCTCATTGGCTTTCTTAGTGTGGCGCAGAATACAGTTCTGTCAGTCTGCATACTCATGTTCTTGCTCCAAATCTAGTTTTCAGCCCCAGACCACATTTATATTTACTATTGGGACTTTTAATGTAAACTTTGTCCTTTTGCAGGTTAACAAGGCTTTTGAAATCTCACAGGTCTAAAATGTGCAGTCGTAGCCAAGATCGTAGCTAACGGGTGTGTTAGCATCCGGCTAATACGTCAGAGACTATTCGAGCACCAGAAATTCACTCCGGTTCTCTCCCTTTGACGCGCTTCCTGACCCAGGAAATAGAATTAACACCTCGGCCCTAAAACTGCAGGGGCCTCAGCTACAGTCACATCTGTGCCCTGCCCCGTCCGGGATCTTGAGTGCAATAACACTGACGGCCGAGAGAATAAATTTGAGACTCAGCAGACCCTCCACTCAACTTTATACAACATACTTTGGGCTTCAACTTCCTCTGCACTGTATCAGTCTACTTTATCATTTTGGATGACATTGGTCCGAGTCTGAAAATGCTGCCAAAAATAGCTGAAACAAAATGAAAAAGCATCAATCTCCCATGACAGCTTTTAGACACATTTGTCACCGTGTTCATTTTTTACCTCCTTGAGATGTTTTATTGACCTGTCCGTTTGTTGTACATTAGTCTAAAGATGAGGTTCTTTTGTTTTCTGTCCTTATCCTTGTGTAAAAATGCATGCTGGGAAGTATCATGTAATTGATGGATGTTATCATTTGTTGCAAATAGCACTAGCAGGGTTCTTTAAACTCGAGAGGACTCTTAGACAGGCCAAACAGACACGCACCGTCACAGATGATATGCATCCCCCCCCGCCCCCGTCCTTCGCAGTGGTACGGTCCCATTCTCCGAGGTATCTAACAAAATATAAATGTAGTCCGTGTGAAATGTATTACCTACCACAAGAGCATTTTTAAGCGTGGACTCTTTTCCGATGTCAAATGGACAGTAAATTAAGAGAGGAAAAGAGAAATTAATTATCTGTTTATTAGTTATTTTATGGAGGTCATATTTTAGGAGAAATGGATCCTGAAATTCTTCAGCTGAAAAGTGAGCTATCTGTTTTCTTCATTAGGTGCATGTGCTGTCTCTCACAGAATGAATAACCGGTTCCTGGCTTTAAACGCCCCATGTGTTTGTGTTTTAGTCTCACATTGTAGATTCCCCAGCAGAGTTGGGGAAGACTCCCCAGCAGAAAGCCATAAAACACAAAGACATTTTTTTTTACCTTAATCGTCCCCGTTGCACCTAAGTAACCTCTGTCATTCTGTCTTTAACACATTCATTCATATTGATCCATTTAAGGGTTTGAATTTCATGCATTTGTTGGCTATCTTGAGCAGATGTTTCTGAGAAAATCGCTGAGAAACTAGACTTTGATGTTTTTTGCATGCTACGAAGAAAAAAGTGAAAATAATTATTAGCTGCGCTGATACCTGCGCTGATTAGCACAATTGTTATTTTTGCAGTGCTTCATTAAGTTAATTTAAACCATTCCGTATCAAAAGCTGTATTTTTTTTTTTTTGAAAGAAATTATTTATTTTATTCAGCAAGGATGCATTAATTTAATCAAATTTTGTCAAAATATTTCTATTTCAAATAAATGCTCTTTTTTTATTTTTTCTATTAATCAAATAATCATTCAAAATGTGTATCACAAATTCATTGACAATAAGAAATGTTTCTTTAGCTCCACATTAGCATACTTACTGACCCCAAACTTTTGAACTGTAGTGTACATTGTGTGTGTGCGTGTGTTTTCTCGGCTAAAGCTTAAAAGTGTAATATTATGTAATACTTGAGTCAAAATGTATAAAATATGTATATGTATGTCAGAATGTATTATTTTGATTAATTTCTTTAGTGTGTTATGATTCATAACTGTGAGATTATATTTTACTCAGCTTTTTTTTTCATTTTGTCTTCTATATCAGACTGCGATGTGTTGCATAATTTATATTTTGAGGTCATTGTGTTATAGAAATAATCAAGTGTGTGTTGCCGTAATGCCACAGTACCTTTCACTATATCACAAAAATATTCATGTGAAAAATATGACTAAAAATGTTGTTTCTGTCTGTTAGAATTAAAGAATGTTTGCTTTCAGACAGGAAAGGTTCTGGATTAGAAAAGAGAGGCATATGCACATTTTTCATTGTTTGACCCTTTCTTTTGCTGTTAATGTACCTTGTGTATTAATTTCCATCATTTATTTATCCCCACAGTACTTTGAGGTGCCCTTTGACTCAAACATGAATCGTACCAAAAACAGACCTCTGGTCCGAGGACAGATCAGGTAAGTGCCTTCAAAACCTGTTTCTCTCTCTTGGGCTGTTTTAACCTAGTGAGCATCCAACCTAGACTGCATTTTTGGATATCTTATTTAGATTCAGACATACCTGTATATCTTGTATGCTTGTCCAAAAATGTTGTCTTGGTAGGCCACTCACTTGGTTTTGAAACACATCCTAGATATCTGTGTAAAGAGCCATTGGAATAAAATGGTTTCCTTAGTCTCATTGCGTATGTCATTTACTCTCTACATTGTTCTCAAGTAGCCCGGTGTTTGTGTATAGCTGAGCCTGCCGGTATCAGAAACTATATGTCATTGTCTAATATCTGTAGTGCTGGCCAGCTGCTCGCGCACCTGTCCAGCGTAACCTGATCCACGTGTGTGTAGGTGTGCCTCTCTCTGTTATTCCCGTCTCACTCCACTGCTGACAAAGGATGGGTCAGGATGGTCATCCGCCAACAGACTAGATGATTAGACAAGTTGACTAATTTGTGTTTTAGCTTTGGGTGCTTTAAAGTGAAGGCATTTATAGTTGCAACTTATAAAAGAGGGTGTAAGCATGCCAATGCTATTAGACTAGCATGCTAAATTCTTTCATATTAGGCTAAAAGAGCAGGAATATAACAATGATTTTTCTAGGCCAACCCGGAAGTTAGGATCACCTTGGTTCTATGACAAAATCCAAAGGATTTTTCCACCGGCTTTTGGATTATTATAGACTGTAAACTCTGTGACCAACAAAAGTTTATGATTCTTACTCGATTTGTTCATTGTAATGATAATCTTCACAACTGAGTGCAACTTTTATGAATTTCATAACGATGTTATGACCATTAAGCACAAAAATATATCATCAGCACTAGGCTTGCCGCGATAGACGGTGCTGACGGTGATACCGCAACCGTTAAGCCGCAACACCGGTTACGTCACTTGCCCACCGTGGCACTGACCCCCACCGTCGTTTTGATTTTTTATAGTAATAAAAATCATTTAGTTCAGTAAAAGAACAGACACTACAATTAAAAACTGAACGCGACTGCTCAATGCAGCGTGCCGAACGACAGTCGCATCACAGATCAGATTTCATTTCTCCAGTGAGGAGAGTGAGTCGAGCCGACTGACAAGAAGAGTGAGGTGAGGTGAGACAGACTAGACCATGGTGGATGATTTAGTTTCGAAACGAGATGCTAAAGCGCCTTTTTGACAATATTTTGGATTTCGAAAAGCCTGTTGACTTTTGCCATTTATCTAATGTGATTTTGGAAGTTTTTTTAAAGTTCTATGTTTTATATATAGGCTAAAGTGAGTTTGACGTTTTGTTGTTGCATTCAAGCAATTGACGCGAACTGCCGCTAATTAGAAAGTGAAAGTAAAATGCGCATAGCGCTTTTAAGCTATTTAAAAGCAAAGGAAAGCGAGGAAAAGAGGGGAAATTCAAACAAACTAAAAACGTACAATTGCTTTACGCCGAATTTGCCGCTATTTGAAAGTGAAATTAAAATGCGTACGCAGCTTTTACAAGCTATTTAAAAGTAAAGGAAAGCGAGGAAAAGAGGGAACGCCTCCGCCCCCACGGTGATACCGGTATTACCGGTGTTGTCACACGGCGATTAACCGGTGGGAAATTTTTCTCACCGTCACAACCCTAATCAGCACTCTATGGGTAATGTTGCAGACTGGACCCAAACCTGCATCACCCACGTAAGCACCATATCGCACATAGTGCAACATCTGGAACGCCTACACTATGGCTCTGACTAAAATAGTTGATTTAAGAAGCATTCTATATCCATCTCCGGCATTTTTACATACTGTACGTTTTTGAGTGCGATACCACACCTAACACCACCACACATTTGACAGCCATTACTTCTTGCTAATTAGGTGTGTTAGTGGAATTTAACAGAACAGGACCCCTGCCCTCTCTCACTCCCTCGAGGGTCACTTTCCAACAACAAAAGGGGCAGATCTGTTGACGTGAGGGTATAAGAAATGACTCAAGCAGTCACAGTAATCCAAACAGCCCAAACCAAACAACCCGGGCTTATCCCGCTGTTGTGTGTGTATCTCAAACACACACTCACAAACCAAGACATCATGAGCGACGATGATCCAGAGTACATAAGAGCGTATGTTTCGTAATGTCAACCCATTCCGGCTCATTCCACACCCTAGTGTCCTTTTATTTTGAATTGCAAAAAAATAATATTATGGAACCATCATGGTCAAGGCCAACTGTTCAGTTTCAAATTTGTATATGCATAGTAAATGTTGAAAGTAAATGTTAAATTTTATATCCCATATATCTACAAAATGAATTGGACTTACCAAGATTTGATTGGATCTTAAACAGCCTTGTTGTTTCTGAGGCAGATTATATTGTTTTGATGAGTAATAAAATATATTTGTATAAATGTATTAATCATGTTAAATAATACATTACTTCATATATTTATATATTTTATATTTTTTTAAAATATTTAATAAATTGATTAACATGCAACAATAAACAACAGTGAGCACAAAAATAAATGATTAAAAATCATATTCAAAAATGTTTTTCATATTGTAAGTAAAAAAAAAGTTCCCACCCCCTGCAATTATTAGTTATGATAGTGACAGTCTGAGTGGTGAAAGGAAAGATAAGAAATTGAATGGAAATGCATGCACACATTTTTTAAAGCTGTCCTTGTGTGATCTGTGTTTGCTGGCCGTTGTCATGTCATGCGTTATCTTCGTTTGGAAAATGTATAGCTGTGCAATTAACTCCCTTTCAAACACACAACATTCCTCACAGCCTAAATCCCGTCTTGTTTTCTAAAACCGTTTTGGAGCAGAAGATAAAGAGGTGAGCAGATAAATGGTGCTCCGTTTCAAACTTCTGGAAGCATCCCCCAGAGCTGCTTAATTACTGTGCGATTGAACCTCGCAGTAGCACGGCGCTAATTCAGCCGCGCTGTAGGAGGTCTGTGCAGGTGGATTAAAGAGCAGCGTTTATATGAAAGCAGACTAATGTTTTCAGCAGCTATGATATGCACTCCTTTTCTGTCACTCCAACAACTAAATTGCTTTCCTGAATGTTTACCATACGTCACCGATCTAGACTGACTGTCAATGACAGGAGGAATTCATCAGCATCATAACTACATATCTTCACCTGACACCATTGCAGACACTCTAGACCCCGTACACAAATGCACAGCATGCTAACAGTAGAGTCACCTACCAAAACGTGTCATTACACACATTAGATGTGTCCTAGCGCAACCTGTTTATGTCTGCATATGCACTCGTGTGTCTGTCAGTATGTTATTACGCTGGCTTGAGATGACACGGTCCTCTTTGATCTTTGCGTGTGCGACTGTCACATTCTTATGATGAAAGGCTGAAGGCAGAGATGAGCATGAGAGATAGAAAAGCAGAATCTCACAGCTCTGAAACCTTTGATTTTGTACATTAGTTGTTGTTGTTTTTTTTTCCATGTTTATTAATTCAATGGCTTTTTTATTTGTCATTTATGTGTATGTAGTTTGGGGTTTGTGAGATTTTTGAAAGAAGAAATCTTTCTGTAAAAAGTACTGTACAAAGAGTAATATTGTGAAGTATTACAATTTAAAATATATTAATATATTTTAATATATTGCTTCTATATATTTTTTTTATATTTTGTGGACATTTTAAATAGTTAGTTTTTTTTTTCAGGATTATTTGATGTATAGAACATTCAAAAGAACAACATTTATTTGAAATAAAGACTTTTTTTTACAACATTTATTTGAAATAAAGAGTAGTTCACGCAAAAGTCAAATGCTTGCACAAAATATTTCCACAAAATGAAAATGGATAGTGATTCTTACTGTGAAGCAACAAAATAGAAAAAAAAAACTAATAGTAAATCTGATGTGCTGCTTCGTTCAATAATGATTCAATCATATATTTATGGTACTTTAACGGTGCTTTTTGTGCAAATTACTCCCTATTTTTACTGAAATCCTTCGTTTCTGTTATACAGAATAAAGGAAATGACATTTGGGAATATCTTGAGTGTTAGTGAATAATGACAGTTTAAGTAAACCATTCTGTGTAGCCAATTTATTTCCCACTGAGAGTCATCGTTGACATGATGATTTAGGCTTCGTATGAGATTCCATTCGGATTCCACGAGACCATGACGTCAGATATATTTGATTGATCAACTCAGTGTACTTGTTTTAAGTGACCCATCAGATAAACAAAACCTTTGTAACGCTAGATAAATTTAATAATGAATGAACTTGAAATATCTCGTTTTTTGTGGTGCATTAGAATAGCACACTTATACATGTAGTGTAGGAAATGCCAGTGGCTTTGCTGCTAACGTTAGTCAGCCTTATCCCTCAAACAACTCATCTCACCCGTTAACTTATGGAACTCATATAAGACTCTAAACTCCTCCACCACATAAAACAGCCATAACAATGATAATAACATTACAATGGAATCTCCTGCTGTTGGGCGGAAAATTTGCCCTCTTTTCCTCTCCGCTTTGGTGTCTTTTCCAATACCCCTCTAATTTATGGAGCAGTTAGCTGTGAATTTGAACCAGACGCCTCTGCAGGATTGCAACTGACTGCTTTTAATAAACCTTAGAGGAAGTGGTTGTCCAATGGAGCACAGAGAATAGCGTCTGTGGCCAGGAGAGCTTTAATCTGTAGCAGAGACCCACAAGCCTTTGTTTTGATGTGACTTACAGAACCGCACTAAAGCTTATCTCAGAAACTGATGTTATGTATGTGCTTCATTCCTGCTTCTCTCTCATTCTCGGTCTTTTTATGCATCACAATGTGTTTTGTCACAATGGAATTTCTTGGTTTGATTTATAAACACTTCGCATTAGCTGTTGGTTTTTAGATTTGTAAACCAACGTTATGAATGTGTTCTGGGCCAGTGCTTGCTGGATTGTTTTAAAGGGGTCGTCATACATGAAGAATCAATCCATTTATTGGTCTTTTGAAATAAGAGTTCAGTGTACTCTGAAAATTATATTAAAACTTGCTGACATTCACACTTACAGTCGACATGATTTGCTGTCCACAAGCCATTTTACTTTGTAATCTGCCATATTTTCAAGTGAAACAGATATTCAACAAGAATGAGAAATAATTTTGCCAATAATTTGCCTTTATATTTGGTCATGAAAAATAAATTATGACAACACAAAAACCTTCAGCAACACTTTAAGTGGACCTCCAGGGAAAATAAATAACATGTATGATCCCGTTAAACCCCACATAGGAATCATGTTTTTGTTGTTCTGAATTTGTCCTCCATCTCTCAGCCCTCTGCATGCTGTGTCATTCGCCCTGGCGTGTGGGATCCCAGGTGTGACCCTGTTGACCCTGGGTGTAAATCCCCTGACTGGCTTCCTGGGCGCCCTGAACATCTTCCTGTACACGTGCTGCTACACTCCCCTGAAACGCCTCAGCATCACCAACACCTGGGTGGGTGCCGTGGTGGGCGCCATCCCACCTGTAATGGGCTGGACAGCAGCCACCGGCTCTCTCGATCCAGGTACAAAGTCCTCTTATATGCACACACTAATGACTACAGTTCCCACTGGAATGACTTTGATAAAGCATATATACTCCTGTTCAAATAATTCACGCAAAAATTAAATAATTTACTCACCCTCATGTTGTTCTAAACCTATATAGTTTTCATTCTCCTGTGGAACATAAAACGAGACATTTTCAAGAATGTTCATGTTGCTCTTTTTCCATACATTTATACTATACAGTAATCAGTGACTGTTGAGCTTAAAAGGACGGGGGGAAAAAACACGCCATAAAACTGGTATGACTTCTGTGCTATATTTAAATTCTTTTGAAACCAATTTGATCGATTTTCAAGTTTTTTTATGTTTCTGAAAGAAGGCTCTTAAAGGGTTAGTTCACCCAAAAATGAAAATTGGCTTGTGTTTTACTCACCCTCGAAGCATCCTAGGTGTATATGACTTTCTTCTTTCATAAAGCGTGCACATTCATAATAAAACGTGCCTCACATGGCTCCGGGGGGTGAATAAAGACCTTCTGTAGTGAATCCATTCGTTTTTGTAAGAAAAATATCCATATTTAAAACGTAATAAACACTTTTCTCTCACTTCCGATATCTTTCATACGCGGAAGCCGTGCCGGTGGAAGGCGTATGACGTATGCGCAGCGTGCACTCCTCTAAGATATGCTAGTCTCGCGAGTTTGTTTATAGGAGCAAAGGAAGCAAAGTTTCCTTAGTTTAGCAAAGGAAAACCAGTCTCCTCTTGGCTTATATCGAAATCCTCCGACATTTTTCTTTGCAAATCTTCGGTTTATGCTTCTAATTCGTGACCGGCGTTTTGTTTTGTTGTCTCTCCGCATTCGTCACTAATCACGCAACGCCGACGCGCTATGACATCCGCCGGAATGGCTTCAGCGAATGACAGTTGGCGGAAGTGATATAAAAGTATTTATTACGTTTGAAATATGGATATTTTTCTTACAAAAACGCATGGATTCACTACAGAAGGCCTTTATTCACCCCCCGAAGCCATGTGAAGCACGTTTTATTATGAATGCGTGCGCTTTATTTGACGACTTGTGGACTGTTCAACTGCAACACCCGCTGACTGCAATGATAGAGCTTGGAATAGCCAGGACAATTTTTAATATAACACCGACTGGATTCGTCTGAAAGAAGAATATACACCTAGGATGCTTCGAGGGTGAGTAAAACACAAGCCAATTTTCATTTTTGGGTGAACTAACCATTTAAGATCACCAAGTCTGGATTTATTTGTTTAAAAATACAGTAAAAAAATAATATTGTGAAATATTATTAGTTTAAAATAACTATTTTTCATTTGAATATATTTAAAAATGTAATTTGTTCCTGTGATACAAAGCTGCATTTTCAGCAGCCATTACTCCAGTCTTGGGTGTCACATGATCCTTCAGAAATCATTCTAAAATGTTGATTTGGTGCTCAAGAAGCATTTCTTACTTGTACTGCTTAATATTTTTGGTGAAACTGTGATATAATTTTTGTCAGTATTCTTTGATGAACAGAAAGTTCAAAAGAACAGCATTTTTATTTTTTGTGACATTATAAATGTCTTTACTGTCACTTTTGATCAATTGAGTGTGTCCTTGTTGAATGAAAGTATTACTTTTTTTCCAAAATAAAAATCATGACCCCAAACATTTGAACAGCATTAGATGTTTGCATATATTAAAATATGCTTCTTGCCTGTTTTGTAACAAATTGTTAAAAATTTGGAACTGCATTTTTGTCCATCCTTTGCTTTTAACTATAAGGAGTAGAATAGCATTAACTTTTCTCATATGAACAACTCATAAACGTTTGGAAAGATATTAAAAGATGACAGATTTGTCATTTCTTTTGTGAATGATTCCTTTAAGCTCCACATTCATCAATTCATCAATTCTCTAGAGCTGTTAACTTCTCCTTATAGCACCATATATGGAAATGTGGGCATGGATGACAATGCCTGTGTTATTATAAGATAATCATGTGATATCTTCTCTGTTGCCAAAGAGCTAAATGTGAGTGTTTCAACAGGAATTTCCTATCAGGCTCACACTGATATGTGTCCTTGGTCTTAAAAGCCCTCCCTTGTGATTATTCCAGGGCTATCACAGTTTATCCCACAGTTCAGAGAAGTGAAACTTGATGTGCATGTTCCATATGGCACTTCTGACTTTTACAGACTCTTCTCCCAGACCCGATGTCCCTGTCCACTTATGACTGTTGTAGTTACATAAACTCCCAGCATCCTGTGTTTTTTCCAAGGACATCTTTCGTCTAAGATCAAGTGTTTGTGGAAGACAGCAGGGGGCCTTTGGCCTGTTTTGCAAACTATTAAAAGTTTGCTGTTACGGCAACCATGAGATCTGTTTTCACCGGAGCAAAAGACTGAATTGTTTGTGTGCATATTTACATGTTTTTCCCCAGAGCATTGAGAACTCCATCTGTCTTTTATAGTAGTAGTTTCAGTGCCCTTTTCAAGCATGTTTATTAGCATGTGCAAACCTAAATATTGTTACGACCCTCTAGGGTGAGGTCACAACATGAAGTGGATCGAAACAACTAGGATTTCATTCAATATTTTATTTATTTATTATTTCAGTTTATTTAGTAGAGCTTTCTATCTGAGAAACTGCATCTTTAATATATATTGTGGAAGTGCTAAAGAGGGGTCAATTTTCAAGTTAATAAAGTTAAGAAAAATCTTGATGCCTAGTTGGCCTTATTAATCAACTGGAGAACTTGCCAACAATCCTGAATGTATGTTGTAAGTGTGTAACTGTAATTTATTTTTCCAATTAATTTATTAAATTATTTGCTTGCTTATTTATTTATTTATTTATTGTAATTACTTCACTTAGTGACACCAAATGGAATAAAATGTATTTTAAAGGCCCCGATATACTTCAAACGAAATCGAAGAACGAACTGAAATGACGTCATTTTGAACAAAATCAGTTTGAAACGGCTCACCAAAGCAAACTTTTTGGGGGAGTTCGTTTTGGCTCCTAAACACCTTTGAGCTACCAATGGTCCGTGGCGATTACGCAGTCGGTGGGTGTGTTCTGGAACTCCGCCTTCTTTGACGTGCGTTTTTTTTTTTTTTTTCCCAGTTCGTTTCTCATTCTACGGAGGTCAGACAGGAGAACACATCTCCGTGACTATCTTGCGGGCTGTGCACGATCCAATCTTGAATGTTTCAGCCGCACTTTGTTGCGTGGCCCCACAAGCTAGTACTCGGGAGTGTCAAGGCCAGTCTCTCCGTAGTGGAAATCTGTCTCCTGTGCGTTTTTGCATGTTTCACATATGGCGATACCCTTTTCAAGAGATCGTCAAACCACGCGGTGAACATTCTGAAGTATGAAAAATGCAATTCCTCATCTGTGCTCTGCATTTGCTGAATAAAAAGGGCAAACTCGCCATCATCTTTCTGTTTTCGTTAAGTGGACGCACATAACATCTAAGTCGCTTTTTCTCGTTCTTTTTCTTTGCCATTGAATAGATCAATGCTACTGCCAGATGTTTACGAAACTGTTCTTCTCTCACAGCCGCCATCGTTGTGTTTAGGGGGTACACGCGGGCGGCGTGACACATGTTTACAACCTCGCCTCCAGCAGCGTGGGGGTGTTGGAATGTTCAAAAACAGTATACCGTCGCTTAGCCTTTTCAAACTTCTTTTTGCCCTCAAACGAAGAACGAAAAAGAACTTTGTTTTAAGTATATCGGGGCCTTAACAACGACATAATTACATTAAGTACATATTACCACTCAACCACACACTGATCTTATATTAGTAGACCCTGCTGTCAACTGGACTGTTTTCTCAAAGCAAGTTCAAGAACACACAATGCATAAAAAGATGACCAGAGGTTTGAGGTCTCTGTCATGCTGCCCTGTGCTGTGTTTCCCAGAGGATTTAGCTACAAGTGTGTTTTCTAAGATCACACACACAAAGGCAGCGCTGCGCGTAATGCTCCGCTACCCCTGCACGGGCCACTGTTTGTGCGGTGTCACCTTTCCACTCTTCAAGCTTCTGAATGCAGGAGAATGGTGTTTGCTTCCTCCACAGCAGGATGTGAAGGAACTTCAGTGATCGAACAGTGTTTCAAGTGTTCTGTCGTTGTTACTCTCCACACTCTCATTTCCTGCTTGCACACATCTACTTCCTATGGTGTTTAAATGATCAGGGAGATCTTGTTTGTGTATTCACTTCTTTTCCTCTCTCCATCTCTCCAGGAGCACTCTTACTGGGAGGTTTCCTGTTCTCCTGGCAGTTTCCTCACTTTAATGCACTGAGCTGGAATCTAAGAGAGGACTATTCGCGCGGCGGTTACAGAATGATGTCCGTCACCCATCCCGGCCTTTGTAAACGCGTGGCCCTCCGCCACAGCGTAGGCCTGATTGGCCTCTCAGCCTTGGGCCCCGTGCTGGACGTCACCACCTGGACGTTCCCCTTAGTCTCCCTGCCGATTAACCTTTACATCAGCTACCTGGCTTTCAGATTCTATCGCAGTGGCGACAGGCAGAATGCCCGCAAGCTGTTTTTTTGTAGTCTTTGGCACCTGCCCATGCTGCTGCTGCTGGCCCTCACCTGCAAGAAGAGACACGTGCCGCAGAACGAGGCAGCTGTTGCTCCCAGCACGCCTTCTCTGGCTCTGTAGAGCAAACTCAATCCCCTGCCATATTCATACTGGCTAGACAATTGCTGTCAGCCCTAAAATTAATTGTCTTGGAGCTAGAAAGACACCAAAAGTTGTGTACCTTGGAGAGGGAAGCCATAACCTCTTACCACTGTTGTAAAAGTTTCCATCAGGGAAAAAAAAAAGAATGAAAAAATCCCTGAATTCGCTCAGGTAACTTGTACACAAATTAATGCTCTGTGTATGTAAATACATAATATATTTATTTGACGCAGCCCCCCCCCCCATTGTCTGTAAACTCATAGACTGCTTCTATAGACTGATTTGTATCTATGTGGATCATTTAAAATAAGACAAGAAAACGTTTTGCCTAGATGCGATATAGTCCAGATAATGGAGTACGGTTTGTTTTAATGCACCTTGCAAGTAATTTCCAAGTTTGGTCTCATCTAATTACTTGCTAAATGTCATTTTCAAAGTTTTCACTTTCTGAGTCACTTTCACTTTCATTTCGGCAATAAATGATTCAGTAAAGAAATCGCTGAGTCTCACTGCTGGCCCAGAAGTCTTTATTCTGCATGAAACGCCATCCTTCTGAGTCTGAGTTGAGATGTTGAAAGGCTGATCGTTTTGGAGAGCTCTCGGGTATTAGCTCCATCAAAAACACTTACTAGTCAAATTAAAATCATTTCAACTCTCCAGAACAGAATTACTGTTTATTCATTGAATGTAACAGTACTGAATATCACTGATTGCAGCCATGCTTTGTTCGTTACTGTTACTGATTCAGCGCCTTCACAGTTTACCCATCTGACCATACTGTACCAATGACTTGTGTAAGACACAAAAAGAATGAAAGTTATTCTTATTAAAATGTGTTGTGATCAAGCTTATGTTTGAGTTTTGATTTAAAATCTTTGAAATGTCACAATGTATCTTCAATGCTGCCAGTAGAAACAAATTTGCCTTCATTTTCTTCATTTCATTATTTAAATATGCTAATTTGGTGCTTAAGAAACATTTCTTATCAATGTGGAAGTTGATACCTTAAACTGCTATTTATTTATTTATTTATTATTTTGGGGATTTTTTGATGAATAGAAAGTTTAAAATAGCACATATATGCTATTTTAGCATATTGGCAATTTAGCTATTAGCAATAGTATA